TTTTCTAGTGCCAAAACACACCAAAGGATTAGGTGCTAGAATGGAAAACAAGTTCTCTCCGTTTCCTGATTACTTTCGCAGGCATCCTCAATATCTTTAACTTTCCTCTTGTAAAATATATGCATATACAAACCCCCCCACCATGAGAAATTATTGGGTTCTTTATTAATACCTTATAATAGCTTTTATTTCTTGGTTTTCACAGGAAGAGATGACTGCAGTAAGTGCTTAGAACACACTGCTGCAGGGTACAGGGAAGATCTAGAGAGTGTGGGCAGGCTAAGCATGGCAGGGATAAAATTAGGCTCTGAGCACATGACTACCAGGAACCAGAATCAAGATATCATGGGTTGTCATCAGGAAATAAATCAAGCAATAATTCTTTTCCAGAGGACACAAGATAGGAAATGTGTCCTCTGTTCATGAACATGGGATGCCAAGCCAGCAGGTTTTTATATTCCGATAATGACCAAACCCTACTTGCCAATACTAACATTTGAATAATTACAAGGAAAGATTTGGGTAAATTAATCCCCCTGATGGCCTTGTAAAGCACAAATGGCTGGATTTGCAAAGAAGATTGGAAAGAACAGGACATTGTTATAGTCAGTCGCAGGAAAAATCCTGTCTCCAACTAGCAACGTTGGTAATTCATGGGATATAGGGCTACTTTTGATCTGGGGATATCTCTTTTCCCTATTTATAGGTTGCCTGTGGAGGTGACAAAGACTAAGAAATTTTAAAATTTTTGATGAGGATAGTATCATTTTCTGCTTTGCACCTCTCAACAACTTAGCTTTGAAACTTACAGATATTTACATTTTCCAAACCAAAAATATTTACTGTGTAATGGGACAAGAGCAATGGAAAGATCAAGGAGACATGCTAATCAGAGAGCTCACTTGCATCAAAGAGGTTGGTTGCCTGTGAGGCAAAAACATAAACAGTGCTTTAGCTGTCACTCAAAACCCATCTTCCACATGTAAAAAGTCTCAGATAGGCTGTTGGTCACAATATATTTTAACTGTTAATCATCTATCAATACCATTAAGAGCAGTTATCCTCAAACACCAAGAATGTAATTTAAGAATATTGAAATTTCATAATTGAATTTACATCTATGCTAATGATTAGAAAAGTAGAGAATTTTTTAAATTATAGATTATGCTTCATATTTTATATTATATATATATTGCTTACATTTAAATATTACCTAAATTTAAATATAAATCTATATTTGCATATTTTTATCATCATTAACATGTACCTAAGTATTCCTACATGTAGTGGCGCCTTCAGGATTTACTCTTTAAGAAAGACATGATTTATGGGAAAGATAAGACTGTTTGCTTATCTCTATTTGGAATCCTAAAGATGCATAACAGGTTTGCAAAGTATAAGCACAAGCCAAATGTGTTTAGAAATTAAGAAAATTCTTCCAAAATCGATGGATATGAATTTCTAACAAATCTCTGAAAGAAAAAGTCAGGTGCTGATGACTAGCAATGAACAAGAAGTGGGTGAGGTTGATGATAACAACAGCTGAAATGACTATGAGAAGATGTGGATGTTTCTCCTGATTCTGCCACCAGCTACCTCTGTGACCCAGGCCAGTGTGATTCACAAAAACTTATTATGTGTCATGGAAGAGTGTGTATGTTAGACATGATACAAAAATAACCAAGATCAGATTCCTTACAAAAAGCTGATGAGCTGGTAGAAACAGTAAGATATTCAATCACAGCTATCACATGGCAGAAAAAGAAGAATGCTTTAAGGGCAAACCAAACACAGTAAGAATTTGGACCAAGCAAGGGACACTTTTACCTGAAGAGGAGAGAATTTAAAGGAAGGTTTTCTTAAAAAGTGGAATCTGAAATGAGCTTTAAAGAATGGATAAGATTCCGACAAGAAGCCCAGTGGCAGAGAGACTTGCAGAAGCAGTGGAAGAGAATGTAAGTAGCAAAGCTCCACCAACAGCCCCCAGGCCAGATTCACCTGCCAGGCAATTTCAGCCTGGACACCTGATCACAGGTGCTGCCTTCTGTACTCACACCCACTGGCCTTCTTCAGATACGTCACCTCACCGGCTCTGCAGATGTTGGTGTTGACACTTGTAATAGACATTCACAATTATTAAGGTGAGTCTACAGAATTGAGAAAGCCAATGAAAGTTGATTCACGAAGTGTCATGATCAGAGATCTGCCTTGAAAGAGTTCTCTCTGGCATGAAAGAAAAAGGGGCCTGGCCCCAAAAACAGAAGGAGAGAGAGAGACAGCCAGGACCTGTGTTGGCACAGGAGGATGGACACTAAGGGGAAGTCCCGGTTCAGAAATATTTCAGAGATTACTTGAGAATTAACTGGATAATCAAGTGAGGGGGAGGTGGGCTCCATAGATAACTTAAACTTTATAGCTCCAGCATCTAGGTGAATGCTGATGTCACTAAGACAGGGAAAGAAAAGACTCGGTGAGGATGACTATATATTCAGGTGGGGACCTGGTGAATCTGAAGAGTTTATAGGATGTTGAGGTAGAAAAGTCAAGTGCAGTGATTCTCAGTCAGAGACAATTTTGCCCCCTGGCATCCCCTGCCATACACAGCAGGTGTTTAGAAATAAATGTCTGGGCTGGGTGTGATGGCTCATGCCTGTAATCCCAGCACTCTGGGAGGCTGAAGGGGCTGGACTGCTTGAGTTTGGGAGTTCAAGAACAGCCTGAGCAAGAGCAAGAGCAAGAGCAAGTCTCTGTCTCTACTAAAAATAGAAAAACTACCTAGGTGTTGTGGTACATGCATATAGCTACTTGGGACGCTGAGGCAAAAGGATTGTTTAAGCCCACAAGTTTGGGGTTGCTATGAATTATGATAATGCCACTGCACTTTACTGAGGGTGATAGAGTGAGACTTCACATCTAAAGATTTGAAAAGTAGGAACAGGCTCAGCGCCTGTGGCTCAAATGGCTAAAGCACCAGCGACATACACCTAAGGTGGCAGGTTCAAATCCAGCCTGGACCCGCCAAACAACAATGATGGCTGCAACCAAAAAATAGCCGGGCATTGTGGTGGGCGCCTGTGGTCCCAGCTACTTGGGAGGCTGAGGCAGGAGACTTGCTTGAGCCCAGGAGTTGGAGGTTGCTGTGAGCTGTGAAGCCATAGCACTCTACCCAGGGGGACAGCTTGAGGCTCTGTCTCAAAAAAAAAAAAAAAAGAAAAGAAAAGTAGGAACAGATACAGAGATGAGGACTTTTAGTCCCTTGCATGAGATACGAAAGAAAAGTAGCCCTGAGGGGGGTACGTGGAAAGGAAAGAGAAGCAGGTGGCTGATAAAATCCTAGGCAACCTCATGTCACCTCATACATGAGATACAAGATACAAAAGATACAACTTGCAATACAAGTTTGTTGCATAGGCCAATGTCAAAAACTCTTTCATATTCAAGATGGCGATGACTGTATGACTGTTCTCAGAGAATGTACACTCAGGAAGGTAGATATGAATGAGCCCAGAAATCACGGGCAGATGCGTGCAGTTGTGAATGCCCGAAACCTAAGCAGGGAAGACAGGCTCCAGCCGGCAGCCAGGAGGTATCACGTGCAGTCTGAGATTTTCATCTGCAAACTGTGCACGACTTGGTCAAATAGCCACACTACTACTATGAGACAAGAAAGCTATCCTCAAAGGAGGTGAGTGAAAAGGCAAAAAGAGAGCAAAGGAAAACAGAGGACTGAGAAAGAAAAAAAGGACACAGAAAACAAGGAGCAGGGGGGAAAGACAGGAAACGAACACTGTGAAGACGGTCTCGGGAGGGGGACCCAGGACACTGGGGCGCGGTTGTCTGGGACGAGACTCGGCCATTCTCGACAATTTTGTGAAACGGAGCTATCAGAAGATATTCCACAGACAGTAAAATCTGCTTCGTCACTGTTTTTCAAAATCTGTATTAACACAAAATGACAAAAAAAGTAACTGACACCGTGTACGATTCTCCAGCACTGAAATCAGCTTTGCTGTGAAAGGCCCCACAGAGCGCAGGATGGGCAGCTTCGGGTTGCTGGGAGCACAGGCTTAGGTTTGCAAGGAACCAGAAGATAGTCCTTTCTCGACCCAAGTGCCACATAACCCCAAAAGACAAGGTATCCCTGGAAAACAGAAAGACGCAGCAGCAGCCCAAAGGAGGCGTCACCAAGCAGAAAAGAGTGGGACCGCCAGGTGTCAGGACAGGAGGCCAGAGAGCACCCAGAGACAGCAAGGTCTGGAATCTGGAACCTGGCTCCTGAATCACTAGAACTCTAGTTTTTATAAGTAGCAAGATGTCTCTGAGAGTTTCTGGCAAAACACTGACCATTAGAGTCCAGCATCCTAGGAGGGTTGAGATGCTGAAATGAGATAATGTAAGGAAAGTAACGTAGCAGCTGGTGCGGGGCAGGGCTCCTCAGTGACAGCTGCTGTGGATAAAGTCTAAGACTAAAAAGCAAAAACAGTAGCACCCACATTTCAAGGCAACCCAAGTATAATACGTTACAGAGAGTAACATATTTGAGAAGTGAAACGAATTCATAGAACTGGAAATGGCCTTCAGAACTCTGTGGTCAAATTTCCTCATTTTACTGATGGGAAATTGGAGAAGGAAATGAGGAGGCTATTGTGGCTTGGATGGACAAGAACCGAAAAAAATACTCAGTAATTAAAGGGAGGTTATTCATCATTTTTTATATAACACAAGTTAAAGGTAGAGTTAGAAAATTACAATTCCCAGTTTTGTGTGTGTGAGTGTGTGTGTCAGAAATAAGAGTTCCTCTGAGGAGAAGTCTACCAGAAAGTTACCCTTAGCTTTCTGTGAACCTGACTAGCCTTGAGCACCTGAATGCACCATTTGTAAAGTAAACATATCTAATCAAGTTCTCTGAAGCTTCGTAGAGTACTGAACACAGTAGCATCATGAACAAACTGGGGACAATGAAAGATGTGCTTCTCCCAGGGCACAGCCAGGTTACTCACCTGTCCAAGAGCAAGTTAGGAGCAAACAGGAGCTTCCCTGGGTGCTCCATGGAGCGCCAGATAAGCCCAATCATCAGGATCTCTAGCCAGGCACATTCCAGAAGGTGGACCTGATCATGGAGGGTCAAATCCACAAAGCCTGAAATAAGACAAGAAAAACCCTGCTGGCTTAAAATGAAAAGTATTCATTACTGGTGAAATGAATGCAAGCAGGGATTCGAACCGGTGAGGTCTATCTTTTATGACATGGAGCAAAGTGGACTAGAAATATTCTGATAGGGACGTCAAGCAACTATTCCTTCCACCCAGCCTTACCAATGAGTTCAGTGCAGCATTAAAAATTACACCAATGTACACAACCCACTTAGCTTCCTAAAAAGTTCTGTACTTGGTGCTAAAACCCTTATGCTTTCTATTTAGACAGTTCTAACAGCTCTGTGTGACTGTTATTCATTTCTGCTTCAGTGGAAGACACTACAGCACAAGAAATTTAAATTATCTGCCTTACAGAAAACAGGAATTGGAACACAGGCAGGACCAAAGTCACTAAATTTTTATTTCTTTACTTCATCACTAAGCCGTGCTCTTTTTTTTTTTTTTCATAACATGCACAAGAAAGACTAATGAAATAGCTCATATATAAATAAATGGCTTGGGGGAATGAGTCAGATGAATAAAGGTGACGTTGCAGTCCCTTCTGGTAATAAGTACTGAAAGATGGCTTTGTTTTCTCATGGTTGATTAGAAGAGTGAAGCTTTCTCCAGTCATGGCTGACAAAATGGCAAGTGCTTGATAATAATGAGAAGAGGTAGAGAAGGAGGAGAGCGGAGGGGAGAGGGGAGAAAGAGGACGTAAGACCAGGTTACTGAACCCCTACTATGTGCTAAAAGCAATGCTACGTGTTTCCGCTCCACTATTCCTTTCATCTATATTAACCTGGCACAGTAAGAACTAATGTTCCCATTTTACAGGGAAGAATACAGGTGCTCAGAGAGCTTACTTCTCCGTTAAGGGCACAAATTAGAATATAATCCTCAGAACCTGGGCCCTTAGACACAGTTGGCAACTGCCTCTGCTAAGCGCCACTTAGAGAATTTGGATCAGGAGACTAAATAAATCCAACCACACACATTGCAATAGGCCAGAGTGACAGGTACATTAAATAAATCAAGTATCTATAAAACGTGCTGCCTTCCAAATCAGTTTCTGCCCCTCCCTCCCAGCCCCAGCCCCGGGCATCCTACATAGTCTATTTCTCTCTCTTTCTCTGTCTCTCTGTCTCTCTCTGTGTGTCTCTGTCTCTCTCTCTCTGTGTGTCTCTGTCTCTCTCCCTCTGTGTCTCTGTCTCTCTCTCTCTCTGTGTCTCTCTCTCTCCCTCCCAGACCTATCCCTGGCATCCTACATAGTCTATTTCTTTTTCTCTCTGTGTCTCTCTCTCTCTCTCTCTTTGTCTGTCTCTCTCTCTGTCTCTCTTTCTGTCTGTCTCCCTCTGTCTCTCTCTTTCTCTCTCTCTGTCTCTCTCTTTCTGTCCGTCTGTCTCCCTCTATCTGTCTCTCTCTCTCTTTCTCTCTCTCTGTGTCTCTGTCTCTGTCTGTCTCTCTCTCTTTCTCTCTCTGTGTCTCTCTCTCTCTCCCCTCAACCCTTTGTTTTCCCTTATCTAAGAGGAGGGCTTTAGGAATGTCTTTTGTTGTTCTTTTCTTTCTCTCTCAGTAATATTACACTCGCATTAATTAAAATCTGAAATATAAGTTTGTTTTTCTTAATCAGTCAAAGGCAAAAGCTCTGCCTACTGGATGTTTCCTTTGGGGAGTCTCCGACTTATCAAAATCTCAGCATCAAATAATTAGCTTATCATTTCCCATATGCTTCAGCACCACCTTTCACAGAATCCTCATCTCCAAACAGGCGATGATCCATATGAAGAAACCCAAGCTGGAGACAGACCTCAGGATCCACATCCTCTCCCGCTGTCATCTCATAATCAAGCCTCATCAATTCACTTCCAGGGTGAAGTTCCAGTTGTAAAAGAGCCCCTCACCCAGGGGGCGTGTTATACACCCTCACAATGTGCACAGGAGGTGAGATCCGCCTCACACCCTCCCTCCTCTGCCAATCACCCTTCTCCTTCCCTCTCCCCCTCCCTCCTCCCTATATTTGTGTTTTATTGTTCATATATATGAGCATGTAATTGTTTACATGTTGGTTTCATATTATTATGGAGTACATTGGATATGTATTTTTCCATTCTTAAGATACTTTACTAAGAAGAATGTATTTCAACTCCACCCAGGTAAATGTAAAAGCTGTAAAGTCTCCGCCTTTTTTAATGGCTGGATAGTATTCCATGGTATACAGTTTGTTGATCCATTCATGGGTTGATGGGCACTTAGGTTGCTTCCATGACTTGGCAATTATGAATTGAGTCACAATAAACATTCTGGTGCAAATATCTTTGTGGAGATGTTGGCGTGGATGTGGAGAGAAGGGAACACTTCTACCCTGCTAGTGGGATTGCAAACTAATACAGCCTTTTTGGAGAGAAGTATGGAGAAGAGAATCCTTAAAGATCTAAAAGTAGACCTTCCATTTGATCCTGAAATCCCATTAGTAGATATTTACCCAGAAGGCTTGTAAATTCTATCTTTGAAGTAACTACAATTCTTCCTCCTGTTCCCACTGTTAACACAATAATTCACTTCCTGATAGTCTCTTGTCTTCTTGTTCAACTTTTTCTTTTAACTCAGCGTAATGATTTTAAGACTTATCCATGTTGTTGCATGTATAAGTAGTTGATTTTTTTTATTGCTGTATAGTATGCTATTGTATGGCTATATCCAATAAATAAATACAATTTGTCCTTTCATTGGACAGTTGGGTTTCCAGCTTGGGCCTATTACAAATAAAACTGCTATGAGAAATTCACGTATAAGTTATTACATGGACATATGCTTTCATTTCTCTTGGTTAAATATCTAAGAGAAGGATGCTTAGATCATATGGTGGGTATATGTTTTTTGAGAAACTGTCAAAATGTTTTCAGCAGTGGTTTACCATTTCCCATTCACACCAGCAATATATCAGAGCACCAGCTGCTCTACAACCCTCAGCAACACTTGGTATGGTCAGACTTTTCCATTTTAAACATTCTAACAGATGTCCAGAGGTATCACACTGGCATTCTGGTTTTATTCTCATTTTCCTAATGACTAAACAATGTTGAGTATCTTTTTGCATGTTTTCTAACAGATCATTTCCCTACACTATATTCAAGTTAATACTTCATACATCCTGGTAGACTATGTACTCATTTGAAGCACAGAATGTGCGAATCCACCACATTTTGCTTTTTAAGCAAGTCTAAGTGTATTGCATCTTGGCCACACCAAAGCTCATGACGATGTAGCCTTTATCAGAGTAAGTATACTGTTCACTGGAAAGCGTGGGTTTTACTCATGTAAAACAGAGCTCTCATCTGAAAGAATTAAAAAGTGGGTGGCTTGGTTCCTAAGAAAAGTTAAAAGATTAAAAAGTGATGATTTGGTTTCAGACCTCCTGGGGCAAAAGAAACAGACACTACCACAATGAGTGGCTATCTCCCTGTAGAGCAAACTGGGTCAAAATGCTCTGTCCTGATTCCAGGGGAAACACCTGAGCACCTGCAGCAGTATTAAGTGTGTCTTTCTCAGTGCCCAGTCAGTGACTAATGGGATAAGCCAGACCCAGGGAGGAGTACTTAAAAGGAAAGCCCTCAGGGAGGTTTCATTTCTCTAGGATCTTAGTCTAATCTTGTAGGTGAAGTCTCATACTAGTAATGTAAACTTGTACTGTAACTTAAACTAACTTTCAGAAATGCTAACGTTCAAAAGTCTTTTTCTCTTTCCTGATGATATAATATGTTACATAGAAATATAAGTAATCGTGTAAGGTTGTCCCTCCTGATGAGACCTATTCCTGATTCTTCAATACCCTACATCAGTGTTTTTCAACCTTTTTATCTCACAGCACACTTGAACCTACACTTAAACTTGCGTGGCACACTTAAATTATGTTGATCAAAAAAAATACATTTATTGTGCTTTGAATGTCTTTTAAAAATAATTTGACCAATTACCTTTGAAATTTTCTTAGCACACCAAAGATCCTCTCACGGCACACCAGCTGAAAATCACTGCCTTGCATCAAACTTAAAAAGTTATACAGTGTCATATCTGGGAGTATTTTGTGAGTTCTCAGTACTGCAGATGGCCATGTAACCAGTCAATTTTTGAAAACCAAAGTCCCACTCTCTGGTGGCAACTTTACATATTAAACAGACTTATACTTTTTAATTTTCTCTGTAAAATTTCAGTGCCATTTAGGTCTGACAGTTTTAGTGGCCTCATAGGAGCTGAAGACGCTCCCCGTAACCATTTGTGCCACATAAGTGTGGTGATTATGAAATCTGTCTGAAGTAGTCTGTTAGTAATAGTTTTTAGTTGGAGGTCAGCAGGATTGCTCGATCCTTCTGTTGAAATGTTGCAGATCTCTCAAAAAGAGTCTATTTAATTATCTTTCCCAGCTGTGCATATTGCCTGCAGACAAGGGCTATTATATCTGCCACTTGGTGTCCTCCGCAAGTTCCCAGGTCAGGGCTGGGAGAAGTGTGCTGAAAAGGTTGTCACTTAACCTTCCCAATGAATGTAAGGACTATGACAGGACATTACGAGATGGAGTGTCTCCTTTCTCCCGATTGACTGCTCTTCATATTATTTTAACCATACAGCTACATACATTTTTGGTATGGAATAAATGTCCGTGAATACTTTTCAGTTCATAATCAGTGGGGGGATATAATCTAATAAAAATTCCCAAACAAATAATATTGGGCGAACTATCTTTAGACATCAAGTCTCAACTCCTTGGCTTACGTTCCTTGTAAACATGCAGAATGTTGTAATATGGGATTGGAAATGAGTCTGTTGTAATACCCGAGAGCCATTCAGATAGTGAATCCCTCTCTTTCTTTCGCACTTTCAAGTGTCAGCAACAGGATGCTGGGAGCTTAGCGGCTGCTCCAGGATATCAGGAAAAGAATCAGTGACAGATATGCCCACAGGTGGCACAGTAAGAGGTGACTAATACCCATATCATTTAAGGGC